CAGTCCTATAGTGGAATCCGAAACACATGTTTGCCTTGTAATTTATGAATTCGTCTAAATATCAGGATAGTAACGCAGATTGTACTCACTAGTGCGGACGTTATTCCACACCAGGGAGTATCGCGTCCACAAACCACGCCTATTAATAACAATTGGTGACCTCCAAGTAGCTGGATTACAGGATGATGCCACGGTCTCAGTCATACTAGTAATAGGAGTAAACTGAATAATACAGTGAGTATTGGCTATGTCACCTAAATAATCTGGTAATTAATGCCTACCTAACCTGATTAAATGTTGGACTACTTGATGGAGATACACAAAACCTATTACTGTTAAGAAATTCCACCATTTAGTCTTTTGGAGTATAACGTCATAAAATGCATTTGCCCATATAGACTACAGATCTGTTAGTGAAACTTATTCATCAAAGCAATTGGTGAGCCACTAAGGTTAACTGTACTGATAAAAAGTAATGGCAGATATCACGATCCAAACCCACGACATCGTTTCCCTGGGCCCGAAGTCCATGGTGTTACCAACTGAGCCACCGACTCACTAACATGAGGCGTATTACTTAAGTAGATAAAATTACAAAACAACATGCACAAGAACAGACTCATACAAACTCTTAGAATGGATAACATTAAAATAAAACTCATAGGAAAGCAAAAATTGCATACGAAAAATCGATTTAAAACCATTTGGTTCTGGTCCACAATCTACTGTACAATTTCTAGTTCTGTTAAAGATATTGTAACCTATTTAGACAGAAAATTAAGTCTCCTTGATCTTAGGGACAACTTGAAATTACGTTTTCAGAACTTTGAACGATATCCTCACCAGGAAATATTGTCATAAATGAGCAGCTAAGGGACAAATCAAATAATTTATACCTTTTTTAAAAAGGTATATTTGCTGCAGGGTTAGGGAATGTTTTATTGTACTAAACCGAATAACCTCGTAAATCGTGTTTCGAGAACCATTATTAACTTACTTATTAAAACCACGTACTAAACAAAAAAAGTCTTATAAAAAAGTCAACCACCATAAATGCTTTCATAAATTTTTATCACACTAGTCCCAAGCAAGTATTTTGTAATCGTATAGTTGGCCTGGCTACAATGTACATATTCACATATTTCATTACCCTGGAAACCATTTTATTGTTACACCTGAATTCAACTGAAAAGGTTTAACTTGTGTTCTGACAATTAATCAACCTTAGTTGAATAACAAGAACACTTAACTTCTGCATAGAATCCAAGAAGCTTCATTTAGAAGCGTCTACTTAGGAGCTTCCACAGAAGCTTCATTGAGAAGAGTTAGCCTTCAACAAACAGTTAGACAACAAAAAGTTAGAAGCGTTCCAAAGCAGCTTCAATTAGAAGAGTTAGCCTTCAACAAACAGTTAGACAACAAAAAGTTAGAAGCGTTCCACAGAAGCTTCATTTAGAAGAGTTAGCCTTCAACAAACAGTTAGACAACAAAAAGTTAGAAGCGTTCCACAGAAGCTTCATTTAGAAGAGTTAGCCTTCTTAGAAGCGTTCCAAAGCAGCTTCAATTAGAAGCCTTAGTCTACGTACAAGTCTTCCACAGAAGCTTAACTCAGAAGTGTGAAAAAGAAGCGTTCCGAAAAAGCGACATAAGAAGTTAGCCTACTCCGCTAGACAACCTTCCTATCCCTTAGACCAGCATCTCCACCTTTTGAAATGGACGCCCTAAGGAGGGCTTGGTAAGTACTATTTTCTGGCTCTATTATGCACAACATTAGTTGTAGATCTAGTACGGAGAGTTCTTAGTTTTTTTAATTATTGAAAAAATAGGTTTTATACCACGTTTACTTATTAAGCTAAAAAAACCTTACAGATTCTAACGTAATCCAATCAGTAGCCATTGACTGTAAAACAATGTACTAAACAATCTTTTCCTACAGTCACCCGACAAAGTTGGCTTCCTTGTACTGTTTATAGTACAGAAAGCTGCTAATTGCTGCATATTTATACTTTGCCGTACGGTTTATACTTTGCCGTACGGTTTATACTTTGCCGCACATCAGGATTCCAACGAAACAACACAAAACAGCGTGGTTCCATTATGCACGTAATCCGTGTACGCTTGGAAATAGGTTGGCAACACTTAAAGATAATTATACTATGAGCAGCTGATTGACTATTTATTATAACTACGATTTAACCTGTCATTTCGTGTTTATAGTTTCGGTATTTCTGAACTTTCTGGACTTTTCTTTTAAACGTTTTTAAAACCTTCCTACGATCTTAATAAACAAGAAAATACCTTTTAAGCATTTTTTTAGGCGCGGAAACCACTTCAAATTACAAAAACATACGGAACTATATTCTCAATTCGCGGAGCACATTTCTTGCCGAGGAAAAATAGCGGAGTGATATGGACCGCGGGTACTACTTTCTCTAGAGCACCATTTGTGTTGCCAGCTGAACCTAAAAACGTGTTGCATAGTGTTTGAAAGACTAATTATTTATATGCTTTATAGTGACTGTAGGAAAAATATAATGTGTAACACGAGTGAAAAAAGGCCTTTGCTGCACTCGAGATCATTCCAGTAAACATTGCTCTCGTGTGCAGCAAAGTGCCACTTTCACCACTAGTTACACAAATAACTATTGTTTCCAAGTACGTTTGGTAAAACTGTATTACAATTAGAAAATTTGGTATGTTTCTTCAGGGAGGAGCATGGTGCCCTGTTGGCCGTAGGGGGGCTGGGGGCCGTTGTCACTGTGGTGTCGGTGGGTATCTGGCTGTGGGGTAGGTGGAACGACGACCCACCGGCACCATCCCCCCCGAGATACTCGAGCCGGTTGTTGATGACCCCACCACCTACCACTCCACAACGGGAAGTCACATTAGCTGTAATAGATCTGGACTGAAATTCATCAATTTGGAAACAATTTGTTAATCAAAAAATCAATAAATTTTTGTGATTTTAAGGGAGTTTTTTTATAGCTTCTAAACAGTTTTTTTTTACAAACACATCATTTGCCATTGGCTTAAACCACTGGCTTTCACATTCGTCAGGTATACCCTCTTCATAATTTTGGAATACGTAGAATAGGGTAAGGCAGTGCTTTATATTATACTAGGCGTTTAAAAAAGTTAGGGACATAGTTCAAGTAGGGATGCTTTGGGTGAATATAATCAAAATGTTTATTTGGAAATATGTCATGATGCGTTTTGTTTAGCCTCTTTCTGTCCGTATACGTTTTTTTACCAAAACATTCATGAATCCTGATGGTTTGAACTACATTGTTGAGATTCTATAACATAATTTGACCGAATTTTTATTTTATCTTTGCGTCAAACTATGAGAATAAAACAATCTTAAACCACTTAAATATTGTGGTTATTTTAAATAGTTGATGCTGAATTTCACAAACTTCGGTCAAATTTAGTAAATTCTATGGATATAACAACGATATCTTAATAAGCTTAGTTAGGTAAAAAAAACCTCAAGAGGAGTTTTTAAACCTTTTTCCCTTGTATTTTATCAACGGTTATTTTAGGGTTTTTTAATAACCGTTTTATACTATTTTATGAAAATAATATATTAAAATATTGCATGTATTATAAATGAGCCATGACTAATTCCACCGGGCAAATGTCATGACTCATATTCAATGGTTCAAGTGTTTTTAGCGAATTTCCCATAAGGGAATAAGCTATTACCGTAGTACTCATGGTAAGACCTGGACCCGGGACCGATTTACTTTTTCGTTTTGAAGTCCCTAGAGGCCAAAAAAACCATCCGTTCAAATTCATATATATATATATATATATTTATATATGTGTCCGTTAGCGCGATAACTCGAGCAAAAATCATCCAATTTTGATGAAATTTGGTACAAACGTGTAAAACTACGTTTATTCGAACGAGTTCGCGAACCAGCATGATCAGACTATGGGAACAGGGGTTTTTGGGGGGTTTTATGGGGTAAAAATTGGTTTTTCCCATTTTTGAACCTAAAACCTTAAAATTTAGCAATTTCTTTTCAAACCATTTTGTAGAGCTTAAAAAAACAAATTATTTAGTATATTGAAGCGTTATTATGCACCTAATGGTTACGGAGAAAATTCCAAAAATCGGTCTATTTAAAATTCCCATGTTATTCTTATGGAGAATAAGTAAACTGTTGTAGTTTGCTTGTTTATGCACATATTTTGATCAAATTTGGAAAATGTATTCATTTCATACTAAACTATTAACATTTTACAAAAAAACACCTTTTTACCCTCCCTGTTGCAGCAAACCTAAGTACTTGTTAAATTAATGTTATTTAAATAGGGAATAAATGTGACATTTTTAAGGAGACATTTTAGTGTAAATCCATTCAGGCAAATGGAAATTCGCTTAGTCTGCAGGTTTGCTGCTGCGGGGGTATTTTAGTATTTAGAGAATGCCGGACCGCTCAGGCCACACCTTTTTAGTTTTTACTGCCACTAAGCATAAATGCTCCCACCTAACTCAATAGAACTGGGAACTCTCAGCGGCTGCTGTCGTACACAAAACCAACTTAATGTTCTATTCATGTTCCTATTCCTTACAATGAATGAAGCAATATAACTGCAGTGTAGTTAAACTAATCAGGCCACTAGACGTTTGGATACCATGTCGTGTGTAGTAGACCTTAATTGGAGAAATGTAGAATATGTTATAGATGTTCAAAGACTTAAAAAGCTTTTAAATACCTGTTAGATTCAGTGGTGTAGTGGAGCAGGAATGTGTGGGAACGGGTTCCTACTCAGCGTTTTACAAAGAACCTATTGATAGGGGATTCATATTTTTTCTACAGTGATAGTGAGTGTTCTCTCACGGGAAAATTTACCTCAACACCACTGATTGGATTGTTTTGTATATGTACAAAGGTCATAAATCCATGACTCAGAATGAATTAAAATTATTTTATAGTTTGTTGAAATTATTTTGTTGAAAAACACAGATATCTAATTATTGATGTTTTTAGGACCTTGACGTTTTGATGAATGATTTTCTGAAAGACAGTGCAAACCCTAACAGTGATGTAAAGGTGAAGTCTGAGATGGACTCTGAAGAATCTGAAGAAAATGATCAAGACTCACCAATGGCTCAGGAAACTGAAGATCTGTCAGACAAGGATGTTTTTACACCTCAGGTTGGTTTCAATAATATTTTTAATATCTATTTTTTAAAGAAATCACCTCTAGCTTTGACTGAAGACATTTTGGCAACTAAAGTCAATTTTTGCAATAGAAACACAATAAATTTAATTTACAAGGTTGACAAAAAGTAAAGTCACCAACAAGCTCTGTTGCCGAAAAGCAGGATGGTTCAAATATGACAGTAGTGCTGTGATCTTTACTTTGTCCACTACCAAGGCCACACTAAATAAACAGGACGTAATGCTCCTATGGAATGACGTCATTGGAGGCGACAGCAATGACGTAATTTTTGCAGTTTGTGATCAGCTGCTTGTTTTAATATTTTCTTGGAAAACAAAAATATAACAAAAAAATAACATTACATCATTGCCTGAAGAGCATTACGGCCTATTAATTAATTTTGTGTTGCCTTGCCACTACTATGCTAGCCGGTTCTCATTTGTATGCAACAAGTAGACTCATTACAGTAGCCAAAAACGATATCAGGTTAACCCTGCTAGTATGAATCGGGTTCTGTGATTGACTTTTTTTAATAGGCTCACACCTGGTGAAACACATAATTTACAGTTCAGACATGCGTTTTTACTGTTTTTAGAAAAGTGTTTGGACAAAAAAAGTTGTGTAAATGTGAGTTTGCTCATCATACACCTTTGCACTGCGAGGCCAACAACAGGCATTATTTAGTTTCCATCAAGACAGTGATTTAGTTGAGAAAAATGTGTTTGCTAATCTGCGTGTTCATGACAAAAGGTTTACTCTTGTAGATATGTTTTCTATCAGATCGAAGATTTCCTGCTCAGTCACACTGACATCTGCATACAAAATATCCGTAAAAATCAGATGATGAACTGCAGGTGGCCAACACCATGGGAACATTTTTAAACGTCCAAACAACGCCCACCTCCGAACTTCCTCTACCTCTTACACATATTGTCTAAATCCAAACACTTTTCTTCAATCATCAATTACTTCTTCTCCAATACTGAATTAATATTGAAACATTTCCAGGAGATTGTTGAATCTGAAAGTAACAGTAGCAAGAGTCATTCCTCAAATAGAAGGAATCCCAGAAGGAATGCCACAAGAAGCAAGACACCACCAGTAGTAGCAGCCACATCAAAGGTAAGCCAAACCCATCTGTAATGACAGTGACAGATATTGTAATGGTGAGTCATTGAATGCCGAGTTGTCATTAGTCTTTCCAAGGCTAATATTGGTGGTAATCTATACCTCAGGAGTAATTCGAGCTTTTTGAATTATCCTACAGCTGTTCATCCCATAATCATGAAACGTTCTGTTTTTGTTCATTGTGTGTCTTACTTGGTCTAAAATTGGAATGGCACCCGATTGTACTGCGGGTTGTTGGCAATGTTGAGTAATCCTTTCTTGGTGAAGGGGCAGCTATTGGTGGTATCTCTGAACCATCATCAGACTTAAAAGAAGTACTTAAGGGTTTGCGGACCAGACTTTTTACAATAGGTTGGGTCAAATTGGCTAAAAAGTTAAGGCCTCGGGTCTTAAGCCAATATTAGATTGATTTGGGAAATATCACTTGCGAAAGCCGCTAAAATACAAGCATTCAGATTCTCAAGGATCACTTTTACTCCTTAGGGTCAGCTGGAGACTGGACATAAGCTGTAATGTTTTTTTGACTTGTTAACTTTTAATAATAATAATAATAAAAATAACTAAGGGAAGGTGTTCAGTAGAATATTTGTATAGATTGTAAGCAATCAAATTAAGGTAGAAAATAGATTTTTAGACATTAGCATAATCTGTGACTGGCTTACACAACTATGTTCTTTGATGGGGATACACAAAAATTGGCAACAGCTGGTCCATTAGTTATAGATGAGATATCTACCCAAGGCTCCACTAGAAAAACAGGCCATGCTGCAGTGCGAGCAGCGCAACACTACGTCACAGTGGTAAATAGATGTATCAAAATCTTACCGCTAAAATCTGACAAACAGCCAGCTTATTTACCTAAAACATATGGGATGTTCCAGTGAATCCATCAACCCACTCAGTGTGACATCATGAATCCTGCAGCATGGCCTGTTTTTCCAGTGGGGCCTAGGTCTACCTCACTATCTAATAGTCAATGTCAAAATGTAACAAAACTATAGAGACAACTGTTGTATTCGAGGAAACTATACTTTATTTACTTTGAATCTCACAAGACAAGTGACGAGGATAATAGGTTTGAATCGCGTAAAGCCTAAGAAATACAGGACAGTTTTCTATCGCAGAAAGGATTGAGTTTTGACCAGCAACTTGCTAGCCAAGCCACAGTTCATCCATTATTTTAAGTTCCATAACACTAAATTAAATGTAATATTTCCAGGTAATTGTTGAATCTGAAAGGAAGAAAAGCAAGAGGCGTGATAAAAGTATAAATGTCAGAAGAAATACCACAAGAACTACATCACCAGCTGTAGCAGCCACATCAAATGAAAACCAAACACCATCCATAGATTCAGACACCGAAGTGGTAAGAAATCATGTTCAGTAGTCATAGTGTCCAAATACAGTCTAGCCTAAATTAAGGTCTTAAACATCTATCCATAGTCTTAAACTATGGACACATTACTTCAGGTCTAGCCTGAAGTAATGTGTAAAACGATTTTGGGCTCGTGCCTAGCTTCCTAGAAAAAAAAGGTAATGGAGGACACCACATGATAGCTATTCTCCTTTATTGCCCACTAGGCAATAGAGGAAAACACATGTCATTGTACCCACTAGGCAATAAGGTAAACCTATTATAGTTACTGTACCCACTGGTTAATAAAGAATCACTCATGATACTACTGTACCCACTAGGTAATAGAAAACTGTACATGGATGCAGGTACATATGATAGCTACCTAGTACACAATAGCTAATGCACCCACTAGGCAATGGAGGAAGACACATGATAGCTAATGTACCCACTAGGCAATAAGGTAAACCTATTATAGTTACTGTACCCACTGGTTAATAAAGAATCACTCATGATACTACTGTACCCACTAGGTAATAGAAAACTGTACATGGATGCAGGTACATATGATAGCTACCTAGTACACAATAGCTAATGCACCCACTAGGCAATGGAGGAAGACACATGATAGCTAATGTACCCACTAGGCAATAGGTAAACCTATTATAGTTACTGTACCCACTGGTTAATAAAGAATCACTCATGATACTACTGTACCCACTAGGTAATAGAAAACTGTACATGGATGCAGGTACATATGATAGCTACCTAGTACACAATAGCTAATGCACCCACTAGGCAATGGAGGAAGACACATGATAGCTAATGTACCCACTAGGCAATAAGGTAAACCTATTATAGTTACTGTACCCACTGGTTAATAAAGAATCACTCATGATACTACTGTACCCACTAGGTAATAGAAAACTGTACATGGATGCAGGTACATATGATAGCTACCTAGTACACAATAGCTAACGCACCCACTAGGCAATGGAGGAAGACACATGATAGCTAATGTACCCACTAGGCAATAAGGTAAACCTATTATAGTTACTGTACCCACTGGTTAATAAAGAATCACTCATGATACTACTGTACCCACTAGGTAATAGAAAACTGTACATGGATGCAGGTACATATGATAGCTACCTAGTACACAATAGCTAACGCACCCACTAGGCAATGGAGGAAGACACATGATAGCTAATGTACCCACTAGGCAATAGGTAAACCTATGATAGCTACTGTACCGTCTAGGCTATGTAGGTAAACCTACAATAGCTACTGTAAAACGTATGATAGCTACTGTACCCACTAGACAATGGATGAAAACCTACAATTGCTTATGTACCCTCTAGGCAATGGAGCTAATCACGATAACTCCTGTACCCACTAGGCAATGTAGAAAAACCTATCATAGCTACTGTGCCCACTAGGCAATGAAGGCAAACCTATCATAGCTACTTTACCCACTAGGCAATGGAGGTGAACCTATGATAGCTGTACCCACTTGGTAATGGAGGTAAACCTATGATAGCTACTGTACCCACTAGGTAATAGGTAAACATATGATAGCTACTGTACCCACTAGGCAATGGATGAAAACCTATTAAAGCTACTGTGCCCACTGGGCAATGGAGGCAAACCTATCATAGCTACTTTACCCACTAGGCAATGGAGGTGAACCTATGATAGCTGTACCCACTTGGTAATGGAGGTAAACCTATGATAGCTACTGTACCCACTAGACAATAGATGAAAACCTACGATAGTTTATGTACCCTCTAGGCAATGGAGGCAAACCTATCATTGCTACTTTACCCACTAGGCAATGGAGGTGAACCTATGATAGCTACTGTACCCACTAGGCAATGGAAGTAAACCTATGATAGCTACTGTACCCACTAGGCAATGGATGAAAACCTATGATAGCTACTGTACCCACTAGGCAATGGAGGAAAACACATGATAGCTACTGTACCCACTAGGTAAAGGGCACATGATAGCTACTGTACCCATTTGGTAATGGAGGAAAGCACGTGATAGCTACTGTACCCTCTAGTCGATGCAGGTAAACCTACAACAGCTACTTTACCTACTAGGTAATGGAGTAAACCTATGATAGCTACTGTACCCACTAGGCAATGGAATTAAACCTATGATAGCTACTGCACTCACTAGACAATGGATGAAAACCTACGATAGCTACTGTACCCACTAGGTAATAAAGTAAAACACATAGCTACTGTACCTACTAGGTAATAAAGTTAAACACATAGCTACTGTACCCACTAGGCAATGGAGATAATTACATTTTAGCGACCTTACTCACAGGACAATGTGGAGTCAAATACATAATACTAGGGCTGGTTTTTTTAAGTATGAGCCGTTTTTGCGTATAAAGCTCCGTAGGTGTATAGGCTAAAACGTGGGTCATCGCCGCTTACTGTCATCATTTGTGAACAGAATGACACCTTTTGCAGCTCTGTAGCTAACAAGTACTCTTTGCTTCAAAGACATTCGACTTAAGAACCCATGTCAAACAACACTAGGCTGTCCATGGAATCGGAATCACAAGTGTGTTGTCTGTGGATTTTAGAGAAGGGAGAGTCTCATGAAGAGAAGATAATGAAGAGTTTAAGTGTGTTGTCTGTAAGAAGTTTTTTTGCAAAGAAAACCCAACTGAACATTTATCTGTCAAATAAGTAATCAAATTATCGAGAGTAGGTATACAGTAGAATGTTTTTTTATAGATCGCAATCATTGACATGTGACACAACTACACTTTCCATCCTCATGTTAATGTTGTTGCCAGGTTTTAAATCAAAATCCTCGTAGTTGATGTGAGCCACCAACGATTGTGCTGATATAAATTACTAATTTCTGTCAGATTTATACATTTTTTACCAAAGTTAAACTGATGTAACGACTTATTGTGAGCTATAGCAACTGTTATGTTATGACCCATCAACTACATCAGCAATAAGGTAGAAAATATATTTTTAGACACTATCACATTCTGTGACCGGCTTACAGAACTATGTTCTTTGTTGGGGATATACAAATATTGCTAGCTGGTCCATATAGATGGGATGTCTACTTCAGTATCCAATAGTCAATGTCGTAATGTAACAACTATAGATACGACTGTTTATTCGAGTAAACTATAGTTTATTTACTTTAAATCTCACAAGACAAGAGTTAACTAAAGAATAACAGGTTTGAGTTGTGTAAAGCCTAAAAAATACAGGACAGTTTACCAATGCACAAAGGATTGAGTTTTGATAAGCAACTTGTTAGCTAAGCCACAATTTATCCATTATTGTTCCAAAACACTAAATGAAATGTAATATTTCCAGGCAATTGTTGAATCTGAAAGGGACAGTAGCAAGAGGCATGATAAAAGTATAAATGTCAGAAGAAATACCACAAGAACTACATCACCAGCTGTAGCAGCCACATCAAATGAAAACCAAACACCATCCATAGATTCAGACACCGAAGAGGTAAGACATCATGTTCAGTAGTCATAGTGTCTTTAACCCTTACATTGCTAGAACTTGTTTGTAATTTTCTGAAAAAGCTAGAGTTATTTCTTATTTTTTCCTAAAAATTCTAGGCTTGCCACGGTGGCAAAGTCTAGTGTGCGAGGAAAGAAATCGGTAAAAATAGAATTTTTGATCCCAAAAGTGCTAAGGAATGATATATTTGGCCTCGATCGTATGAGAAATCGAAAGAAATCATCGCTGTTTCAAAACAACAACCAAATCAACCGATATGCCCATTAATACTCACACAATCGAAATTCGTGCCAGCACAATATATCGTCGCATAGCAGTTTAGCACTATTCTGATGAAACGCTAATAACAATATATCGCTCTATAGCAATGAAAGGGTTAACTGTAAGCTTGTAGTAGATTGTCATTTATTCCAAGTGTCTTAAAATTGAGAAAAGTCGCAAAGAAATGGGAACCTGCTGATGTTTTTTTTTTTGTTGTTGGAAATATAAATGTTGTGTAAAAATGCATGGTAAAATAGCCTCTAAACGAGTGAATTTAAGCTATAATTGTTTAAATATATTTCTCCATTAAGTAATAGGGTGTTATAAGTACCTACACTACTTGTCGTGCGGTCACAAGTCTGCCAATTGTAGCGAACAAAGAAGTAAACAAATAATCTTATTTCTAAATAATTAAAATAAATCTGTTAATGATCATACAATACTTCATCATATGATCTAATTCTTTAAACCTGGTTACAAGCGATCTTGTGTCTCTCCACCCTCTTTTTCTTTACTGTCCATGTGCTGATTATTACACTTGAAACCCTTCCTATCAGAAATTGCTCAGTCAGCAAGCTTAAGAGGTTGGCGGCCTCTTTTAACCTTGCATATGCCCGTCCACATAAACTTACTGCCCGTGTCTGGAACTTATTCAGCAAAGCAAGGGGTGAGCCGGTACAGGACAAAGGTGAACTGTACTGATAAAATGTTTACGCCAATGACCAGGATCTGAACCCTTGACATCGCTGCCTTGGGCCCGAAGTCCGTGCTGCTACCGACAGAGCCACTGACTCACCAAACGTATCTTACTCTCAGCAACGCCAAAAAAATCAAGCCGAGAGAGAGTTTCTATGATATAATAAGGAATGACCTTATTAAATGATTTCATTCTAGAAGTGTGCACGTTTTTCGTACTGGGATCTTATACAATAGGCCTAGTCAGATGAAACCTTATTATATTCAAAACAGCAATTTGTTTGCATTTCAAGTTAAGTTTTTCCAGATATGCCGGAAAATCATAAGATTTTGTATAAATATACCTAACCATGAAAAACACAATGTCATACACGTTTAAGGCAAACCAAATGTTTCACAAATAAATGTTGACATTTATTATTTTTATTATTTTATATACGACGAGAAAAATAAAACAGCAGCTTTATAGATCTTTGAGACATAGACCTGAGGGAAAACTAAAAGCTACTTTCCCCTGGTTAAAAAAGTAGTTAAATACTGCCTCACTAATGCACACTTAACACTTGACATTTTCATCAACAACAACGGACGCTCTTGCCCGTGAAACGCTGAGAAATAAGGTCCACTAAAGCAGCTGTTCTCAAAATTCATCTACTCAAGAACACCCGTAAATAATTATGTATGTAATGCATCACCTGACTAATAATACATGCCTATCACCTGACTCCCCCCCCCTTGATAACGCCTAATTTTTTTATTTAAAATTTATTATTTTAAAAGATGGCATATTTACAATAAGGCAAGGAGTAAGGTATAGGTTTGTTAAAAAAATAAATAATTTGTTGATTTTGAAAACTTTATTTTTACATAGCTTACAGTAATACTGTATATTGAAATAAGTATGGCCCACCTACTGGGATTACATGACTTCAATAACTTTCTTACTTTAGTGTGAACAATGGTATTGTTTTTTGGTTATAAGAATCTCTAAAATGTTGGGATTTATTAAGTTTTAACCTTAAATCAGTTTAAATATTTTAAATTCTATTTCTCTTTGCTGGCTTCAAGTTGCAAAGTTCAGAAAATGTTCTTTAAGACAAATAGGTTGTACAAAAAGGAACTATGTGTTCCAGAGCTTTTTTGGCAAGTTCTGGTACTTCAACTTAAGCAAGTAGCCAAAACCTTGTCAAGTTATTTTCCTCTTAAACAATCTCCCAGGCTCTGCTGCACGAGAGTTTAACCAATTGGTCCGCGGCTCAGAATCAGAAAGACCAACAAGGACACAAATGCTTCTCTTCTTGAAAGGATATTTAGATCCACTTATTGCTAGGGTTAGGTTCAGGGAAATAGCTCCTAAGAGTTTTAGCTGGACCTGTTAAATTTTCAAGAATCAATTCTTTTGTTTTTGCAGGCATCTCTACTTCGGTTGTTTCTAAGAACTCTTGCAAAGTTGTAAAATAGCTGTAAGAGTTCTTTAGAGCACGATTAGACCAAAGCTGTAGTTTTTAGCGAATTTCCCTATAGGGAAGTAGCTATTACCGTAGGTGGCATGGTAAGACCTAGGTGCGGGACCGATTTACTTTTTCATTTTGATGTCCCCAGAGGCCAAAAACACCATTCGTTCAAATTTTTATATATGTATATATATATATATATAGATATATATATATATATATATATAGATTTATATATATATATATGTGTCCGTGAACACGATAACTTGAGTAATTTTTATCCGATTTTGATGAAATTTGGTTTGAAGGTGTAAGGCAGGATAAACTTGAATGAGTTCGCGAACCAGCATGATCGGACCATGGGAACGGGGTTTTACGGGGGGTTTTATGGGGTAAAAATGGGTTTTTCTAATTTTTGACCCTACAAACGAAAAATTTCCCAATTTCTCTTCAGACCTTCTTAAAGAGCTTAAAAAAACAAATAATTTAGTATATCAAAGTGTTTTTGTACTATTATTAGTTACGGAGAAAATTCAAATAATTGTTATTTTAAAATTCCCATGTTATTCTTATGGGGAATATTGTAAAATGTTGTAGTCTGCTTGTTTATGGATATATTTTGATCAAACTTGGTAAATTTATTTATTTTATACTAAGTTATTAATATTTCTCTAAAAAACACACTTTTTTACCCTCCCTGTAGCAGCAAGCCTATGTACTCATTAAAATTAATGTTTATTAAATACATTTAATTGAAAATCAATTCAGGCAACTGGAAATTCGCTTAGTCGGCAGGTTTGCTGTGGCGGGGGTATTCTATCATAGATTCCACTTTTTCCTGCTCACTAAATATATCAGTGTCTGGCCCTTGAAGATTTGTATTTAAGACGTTGAAATGACGAAAGATATCTGCCAGATATGCAACGTTGCTCTACAACTTGACGTTCAGAGGAAAGCTTTCATGTTTTTCTCCCTAGAAAATAATTCTTATCTCATCACACAGCTTCAAAAAAAGTTGAAGGAAATTGCCTCGAAAAAGCCAGCGTATCTTGGTGTGAAGTAAGAGCTGAACTTGTTCACTTCCAATTTCTTCACAAAGCTGACTAAAAATGTGAGAGTTCTAAGGTCTTTATATAAAGGCTTTAATATAATTTACAATTTTCACTTTTTACATAATTTATTTTTTCTTAACAAAAAATAATTAATGAAAAAGTTAACGGTAATAACATTTTAACGAAGCAGTGAACAACTGTGATAAAATTATAGAATAAAAAAAAACCAAAATTATATTATTTAACCGAGATCTAGATATAAATTCTTTAAAATTAGATTTAAAACTCTACGGTAACATATATTTTTCAGATATACAGGCAAACTATTTAACAATACCCCCGCCGCAGCAAACCTGCCGACTAAGCGAATTTCCATTTGTCTGAATTGATTTTCAGTTAAATAAATTTTAATAATATTAGGTTTAACGAGTACCTAGGTTTGCTGCTACAAGGAAACTAATAAAGTGTGTTTTTGAGTAAAATATTGATAGCTTAGTACAAAATAAATAAATTTGCCAAGTTTGATCAAAATATATCCATAAACAAGCAAACTACAACATTTGACAATATTCTCCTTAAGAATAACATGGGAATTTTAAATTTCCATTTTTTTTTAATTTTCTCCGTTACTAATAATTGAACAAAAATACTTTTATATACTAAATTATTTGTTTTTTTAAGCTCTTTAAAAAGGTCTAAAGAGAAATCGGGAAATATTGTGTTTTGAGGGTCAAAAGTGAGAAAAACCAATTTTTACCTCATAAAACCCCCCGTAAAGCCCCGTTCCCATGGTCCGATCGTGCTGGTTCGCGAACTCATTCAAGTTTATCCCGCTTTACACCTTTAAACCAAATTTCATCAAAATCGGACATAAATAACTCAAGTTATCGCGTTCACGGACGTATATATATATATATATATATATAAGTCTATATATATATATATACATATATAAAAATTTGAACGAATGGTGTTTTTGGCCTCTGGGGACATCAAAATGAAAAAGTAAATCGGTCCCGGGTCTAGTATCTACAGTACAGTAGAAGTTTACTAAATACAGTATAATAGGGAAGATCATTCTTATGAATGTTATTAAGCATTGACTTAGGAAAATCCAAGAATGTTTTGTAGTTTTCAACAGTGCACCGGCTGAATGGGCACATGCAAGGCCGCACTAGATATACAGGCCGTGCTGCTACTTGTGTGACGTCACAACTGTAGGCGGTCTCGCGGCCGCTACACACATAGGCGCTTATACGTTTTTACGACTGCAGTTAGTTCCCACTGTGATTTGAACAATTAAATGAAGTCGTATTATAATATAATTTTGCAGTAATGTTTTATGTTAGTGTAGCGTAGTGACTAGCTAGTTTTTTTTTTAAATTCGTATAATAATGTTTGTGTATTTCTATAATAACAAAACATATTTTACTAGTTAGGCTACTATTTGATGCAAAAGTATGTAATATCATTGTTTTCATTACTGTATATGCATATTATTTAGTACACTGCTATAATAAAG